CGACAGTGGACCAGACCTTTGCCTATTTGGAATTGTTTACATGAGTTTTGATCATAAAGATTAAAAGTGTTTTGGGCATCTTGGATAGTATTATGATGGTGCTCCTCAACATATTTTAAAGGTGGTTAATCAGAAGTACGGGGTAAATAAGAAAACACCCTTTCAGAGACTAACATGATTCTACCAGGACTCATTTTGCTATCCACAATCTGTCTATGGCTCATTCTTTGAATTTCCTAAATACAAAAAAATTAGGTGAACAGCTGTTTTTTTTTGTTTTTTTTTTATTGTGTGTTTGTTTTAAAATCAAATTAGAAAAAGAAAAATGCAAAAAACAAAATGACTGCCCTTTTCTTATTGTATTTATTTTCTGGCAGAATTGGTCTTCACTTGTCTCTCCTATCTTGTAACCTATGAAAGTGGGTTAAAAGAGAAAGGAGAGACATTTGGCAAATGTCAGCAGGCTAGAACTCGAACCTGTGAATGCCAGTATATGGGTCATGTGCTTTATCTCGATTGCCATAGTAGCAGCAGCCCTTTTCTTATTTTAATGGTTGAATTAGGCTCTCAAAACCCACCAGGTCACTGGCAAACTGTTTCAAAGCGTTTACCAATGATAACTCAGAACGCATGAAAATTACATTGGTAAAACGTTTACCAATATAGACATTTTAGACATTGTTGGAAAGATTCTCCACAATTCAACCACCAAGTTAATTTTATGGACATAGCAAGAACCAAAGCACAATTAACAAAGATATGGCAGCATGTCAAAATGTAAACATGTCAAAGCAGCCTCAACATCATACATTTGAAAGCATCAAGAAGCCGTTTTTTAAATCCAATCTTCAATTGTTTATACTCCATTCGTCCATAAGGGTCCACAACTTAAAAGTAATCCAGTATATTCATAATAAAAACATACAGCTGAGAGTGGATCAATGCGGGCAACTCGAAGCTAAATAACAAATGTCCTATTTTGTTTAAGTTTGGATGCTGATTTAGTTTTATTACAATGCCTAAGGCTGAAAAAAAAAGAAAAAAATACAGCTCAGAAAAGGCACTGGGGCTTATTTTAGCTTGAAAAGCAACAGTTTCACTATTATTTCATATATATATATATTTCTATGCTATTGTATGTTTATAAATGTTAGATTTCGTTATCTACACTGATTCTGAAAAAAGTGGAAAATACTTGCTTCATAAATGTTTTGTGGCCATCAAAATGCTTCAGTGTTATTCTATGGGTCAAATAGTTGAGTAAAAGCATTTGACACAATTTGGAGAGATTTGGAGACGCTACTGACACCAAAAGTTCAAAGCTCACAGCTCTGTAACAGTTGTAGCTAGAGGTCTGAAATTTTCTTCGGTTGAAATGATGTAGAACAAATATAATATATGAGACATGCCTATACTCAAGCATGACTTTATTACTGCTATTCACAAGAGACCTATTATTTTTGAGAATAAAAAAAAACAAACAATTTTGAGTCATGTTTGAACTAATGTAGCTTGGGCTGTGTTTTACTCACCCAATTTATATTCAGAAACTAGAAGGTGTTAGCTTTCAAATAATGTATCACACATGTAATTTCGGCTTACAGTTCCTAAGTTATTTGCTTTTCCATTTGGGTATGGAGAATAGGCAAGGATTACTTCAAAATGAGGTTTTTTCGTAAACAGTTTCATTTGTCACTTGAATCAACTTGTTTAAGTGAGGTCTGAAGAAGTTTTCTCTAAGGGAGGCCCTAAAGAAATAAGACGCCTTTAATAGGGTTTTGTTTTCCATAGAAATGTCCAATGAATGTAAACCCATAGCCATGTCTAGATGCGTAGAACACTACACAGTACCTTTAATTTGTAGAAATAACAGCCGATTGTTTCATTGAGTTGGTACTGTACTAGGCCAATAACCTTTTTGTTTTATTTCTACTAGTAATTACTTCAGTTTTTATTTTATTATGCCGCTCATAAACCAATGTTTACACTGTATTAGGTCATTGGCTGATCTTAATTAAATATTTTAACCAGTGTATCAGACTCATTTTGAATTGACATTAGGTTGGTACAACGTTAAGTAGCTTCTGATGTAATAAAGCTACTGTTAACACATTTGTGTTAACTTAGCTTGCTATATTTCTTTTGCAATTTATATTTCTTTCTTTTTGTAGTGAAGCTTAATTTATTGTTGAGTAACTGATATCTTAGCTCACTACACTGGACAAGTAGCTTGCCCAACACTGTGCATATTTAAATAAATCCTCATGATACTGTATGTATGTCCCATGCAGAATTTGAACGCCGGTCTCCCACATGGGAGTTGGTCCCCCTATACTTTCTGATAACATATTTTAATGCCCATATTGGTCAATAATATCAGCAGACTCATAACATCGGATATATGCCAGAAATATAATACCTATAATTATTAACTATTCTCATTTTAAAACATGTTGTGATTTCTAAAGCAGAAAAAAAAGGTTTTGTAGGGCATGTAATTTTTGGCACTTGTCTGAAAGCTAGAAACCAGCTATCAGTCCCCTACCTTCTCTGATACAGATGTTAAAATGTCAGCCTGTTTATATTTATTTATTTATTTTTATTTATATATATATTTTTAATTTATGTGATAAAAAAAAAAAATAAATAAATAAAATGTCAGCCTGTTCCATTTAACTCTTTGGGAGTTATTAATTTTCCCACCTGTCAGGAGAGTTGACCAAAGGCAGTGCAGGTGAATTGTCTTGAACCAACAACCTTCTGGGTTCAGGGCAAATTCCCCAATCCGACACCACTGAAACAATAATCCTGCGGAACAATAACCCAAATCCCAATTGTTTTCTTGATCGGCCATTCGAAATCTAATCATATACTGTATAGTAGCAGCCATTCTAAATGTCTCTTCCCAGTCTAAATCAAACTGATTGGCAGCCGAATGGCAGCAAAATCCCCTCCAACTTCCAGCTACTGGCCTTCTCATGGGCATGCATATTTTTTTAATCTGACTCTACCTTTTCACTGAATTACAGGGTCTGAACAGGAGATAACGCTTCTTTTTAGATTTTAATGTCCAGAAATCATGAAGGAAAGAAGATTTTAAATGTTTAAAAAGGGGGTTGTAGGGGACTAGCCACGGAACAGCCAAGGGTCCATCAAGGGAAATCGGGAAATTCTGAATGGCTACTACTGTAAGAAGATCTCAGACGTGTGGCCCTCTAGACCCTCTAAGTCACACATATTTTAAAAAGTTGCACAGGTCTGAAATTTGAAAGTTTTCTGGGAGCCAGAATAGGGGAAGTAGACATCCTTAACTTCTACTTTTTGAGAGGCAGTGATTTGAACATCTACATTCCCTATTTTCCATGTGGATGAAGTTTCCATAGAGACAGAACATATTGTCCTGAAATGTGCCTAAGGACTTTTGATGAGACTCCTAATCGTTCATGTCACTCACCCCAAACGCAACACAGGGAAGGTTTACAATGACTGTTTACAGTATCACGTGTATTTCTGTGATGTATAAAGTATATTGCCAATTACTGTTTATTATACAGTTTTTTACTTTAGAAACATTTGCAAAAACTACTGTAATAGAAACACAGTAAATTACTGGCTATTTCACAGCCATTTATCACAGAGATGCTATGTCATGATTTACTATCAAGTATAATCTGTCCCGTTAACCCAGTGACTTTGTGCAATCCTCTATTCTAACTCTATATCAGTACTTATTAAATAATAAAATATATTATGAGTGAGACTAACACTACTTTAATGTTTTTCTACTCGAGTAAGTGTTTAAAGTACAAAAACGTACACAAGGAAGAGTAAAAAAGCACTTGGTAAAGTGGCTACATATGTACTGAATAATTGTTGTATTATAACATCTGATTTAATGTTCATACTCATATAATCAAACAATAAGTCTTCTTTCCAATAAAAAAATTATTCCTAAAAATAAGCAACACATATGTTAGGAAAGAATAGGGATTTTAAGCTGCAATATTTCCAGTTTACTGTATTTTCACCTGATCTCTGAATAGCTCAAATTACTTGTGATGGGTAGAGTAGCTAGAAAATTGTCTCAAATAAGACTAGCGATACACTCAGAAGAATATTACTTAAGTGAATATAAATAGTTACTCGCCTCTGCTAAGATTATGGTTTTAAATTGCTGTCCTTTTTATTGATTTAGTTTGTGCATGCTGGAATTTAGTAAATATCAAAAACTGAAACTAGTAAAAAGGAGAAGGAGAAAATTGTGAAATTGCAAGAGTATTCAAATAAAATATAATTTCCTATATGTAATTATCAAGAAATTTGTACAGAAATATTTCAATCAAAGTTTGTCAAAATTTAAAATGGGTCATGAAATACTTTAAGTAAACTGGTTAACTGTAAGGAAATCCAAATTTACCACTTTCAAATGGCTAAGCACCACATACGATTCGAAAGTAAGACTGGTCATTCATCCATTCATTTTCCTTCACACTTATCCCTGCTGGGGTCACGAGGGTTGCTGTTTTCTATCTCCAGCTGTCACTGGGTGAGAGGCCAGGTACACCCTGGACAGGTCGGCAGTCTATCGCAGGGCAACACAGAGAAAAATGCAACAAAAAACAACCAGCCAGAGTACCTGGAGAGAACCCATGCATGCATGGCCAGTAATCGAAGCCAGAACCTCCCTGCTGCAAGGCAGCAGTGCTGCCCACTGTGGCACTCTGCAGCCCCAGTGTTAAATGTGCAATTTCAAACTACATTGACTCACAGAGTTATTTGGAATAAAATCTACACTCTTGAAGTGTTATTTTAATACAGCAAAAATAAAAAATGTGTGATATTCGACAGCTTTGTTACAGTGTATAATTTCATCACCAGAAATATCATGATACATTATTTTAACTTTGGTATATCTTGAATTTATTTGAATATACTTGAAGAGCATTATTGTATATTTTACAGGCCAGGTAAATCAGGATATCAAAATTTTTGGTGAATAAATGTACAGGTTTAAACATAACAAACATCAACTTTTTCAGAGTTAAAAAAAAATATTTTGTATCATATAACACATTAACGTGTTTTCCCCAGTAGGTGTTTTCTTGTGTTCAGCTCAGGTTTTAGAACAAGGATATAGCATTTTGGTGCAAATATGCAAAATAGTATTCCATAACTTGATGCTAGAATAGCAAATATTTCAACAACAACAGTGAGATTTCCAGGTGAGCTGACATAAGCTGGGATAAAGGTGAGCCAGACTGCACAGAAAATCAACATACTGAAGGTGATGTGCTTTGCCTCATTGAAGCTATCAGGCAACTTTCTTGCTAAGAAAGCAATGACAAAACATAGTAAGGCAAGGAGACCAATGTATCCCAATACAGCCCAAAACCCAACAGGGGATCCCAAGGCACACTCGAGGATTATCCTTTCAATATAGTAATTCATATTTTTGTAAGGAACAGGGGGATTTATCATTATCCATAGGATGCAAATTATAACCTGTATAAAAGTGAAAAATAAAACAGTGAGTCTCTGTTGTGCCGGCCCAAACCATTTCATCATGTCATTACCTGGAAGTGTAGCTTTAAAGGCCATCAAAACCACTATTGTTTTTCCAAGAATACAAGAGATGCAGAGCACAAAGGTGATGCCAAATGCTGTGTGTCTCAGCTTACAGGACCACTCAGTGGGCTTGCCAATAAATGTTAAAGAACACAAGAAACAGAGTGACAAAGAGAAGAGCAAGAGAAAGCTCAGTTCAGAGTTGTTTGCTTTTACCAGTGGAGTGTCTTTATTAATTAGATACAATATGGCCACTATTAAAGTTAGCAGCAGACCAAACATGCTGAAAATCACAAGTATTTTCCCCATAACCTCATTAAAAGAGAGAAACTCAATGTTTTTTGGTAAACATGCATCTCTTCTCTGATTGGACCAGTATGCTTTGGGGCATTTTTTGCAGTCATTAGCATCTGTAACAAAATGAATATTATTATTTGGATTTAATCATACCCTGTTATGCTGATAAATGACTGTATCATTGCTAATTTTAACATAATACATAAACTGTAGCATGTGAAGAGTGCGTTCATACTACTGTATTTCAGATCGGTGGTACCTGTGGTATTGCTAAATTCTCCAGCTGCGCATGGTATGCAGTCAAAACAGCACACAGGTCTTCCTCTTTGAAGGACTTTATGTGTACCTGGACGACAACTTTCACTGCAAACTGAATTAGGTAACTGTAAATATAAAAATAAAAAAATTATTTATGACATCATTCTGTCCACTGTTTAAGTTTTTTAATTCATTCAAATAGTTAGATATTACCTCTTTACCACCTCCAGGCCATATAATAGCCTCTGTGTTAAGGTAAAATCTCTGGTCAGAGGGCAGAGAGGCATCATAGTAGCCAACTGGTTTAAACTGAAAGGATCCATCTGAACCAAGCTGCCAGTTCACCAATTCATATCTGTTTACAGCTGCACCAGTTTGATCAAACCACACATTTTCTCCATTTTTCATGGTGAAGTTCACATGCTTAAGGGCCTCCACCACCTAATGAGCAGCAGAATCAGTTTGGGTCAACATTGTTAGGTATAAATAAACAACACCAAGAAAAACAAGTCTTTAATGTCTCTTACCTCCCAGGGCTTGATATTCACAGCCTTATTACACCCTTGGCCACCTGAACACTTCATTATTGTATGAATGGAATGTGCTACTGCATAGATGGCTTTATAAATGTTACTAGGGTATCTCAACTTTTCCAAATCATCATCATGACCTTTTAACCCAACAAAATCCAGATTCTCTTTACAAGTTTTCAGAACTTTTTCTGAGGTTGTATCATGGCACTGAAGTGTTGTTTTCCAAAAATCTCTAACTAGAAAATCTTCCAACCCACTGATGTTGGTTTTTTGTACAGCAAAGCCTAATGCTCCTCCTAGCACACTAAAGCTAGTAGGAGTCACAAGGCTGTCTGCAGTGATCCAGGCTTCCACACCAATGAACTGCCTCCCGGTGATATTGTGGAGACTTAACAGCTCTAGCAGGTTATTCATTTCAACATGAGAAAGAAAGCCAACAATAACTCGAGCAGTGCTCTTTTTCATTACCTCTATCACTTTTACAAGTTTTTCTGTCTCTGCCCTGTCAAATTTTTCTGTGTATTCCACACAAATTCCTTCTTCTTTCGCAGCAGAAAGGAAGATGGCCATCCCATTGTTACCATAGTCATTATCACTGTTTACTGCTCCAACCCAGTTCCAACCAAAGCGTTTCACTAGCTGTGCAAGGGCACGGCTTTGATAAAGATCACTGACAATGGTTCGAAAAAATGAGGGATACTCCTTTCTGTTGCTCAAACATTCACAGGTGGCTGAATGGCTTATCTGTGAAGAGGAAAACAGAAAACTGCCAGAAAGAGGGAAAAAAAAAAAAAACATTGTTGCATGTCATAAACACATAAATACCAACAAGAATCTCTCTTACCACTGGTATCTGAAACGGTCCAGCAGTGCGGGAAAGGACAATAGTTGAGGAAGATTCAGACTCTCCGATAATAGCATGAACAGCTGATTGCCCAGAGCAGCTATTTCCCAAAGTCAACTCATCACCATTCATCAGAGCCATTACTGCACGCATTGAGGATAATGTTGACGCACAGTTGTCATAAATCCGATATCCAACAGTAATATTGGGAAGAAGATCTTTATTTTTATTTATTTCCTCAATAGCAAATATCATCGTCTGTGCGAATCGGAACTCCCTTAGGTTGATACTGTAATCAGACAATCATTTTATAATATTTTGTTCACAGATGAAAGAACATTTTTGACACATTATTTAAGAAGTCAAAGTTACTTGGTGCATTTATATGCTGCCGGCCTCTCTGTAAAGAAAAGTGAAGGAGGAGAGATTTTGCTGTGAATGGAAAAGGCACCTCCGATTATCACGTCCCCCTCTTTAGACAGTACAGGAAACTCTGGACTTCCCCGTATCTGACAGAGAGAAGCAAGCTCCCCAACTGTGGCATATTCCAACAGGAGTCCTGCAAAAATAAGTGCTGTTTTAACAAATAACATTTCACCTAGCTGGATGCAACTGGGGAAGAGTCTACCAATTCAAGGGTTATATTTATGAATATAATTCATTGTTGGGCACACTGTTGCGTCATTGACCAATCAGACATGTGGGAGGGCCTCGGTTAAAGCTTGCTATTTCTAAACTTGGTGTGATTTTCTTGATGAATATACTTTTTTAAATGCATTCCATATATACTTTTTTTGTTTATTCACAACAGGATTAGAGCCACTGAAAAAAATAAAAACAAGTGTACTAAAAGAATTCAGAATTCTGACTATAATATATGCACTAGAATATAAGTATTCTGTCTATTCTCATGATACTTATATTACTCTCAGAAATTATACAGATGGCTTTAAGGAAGGATGTCATGTCTTCAATGACATTTGAAGTTGTGCAGGAATGTCACCACATTTTAGGTGGAAATGATGGGACTAAGTAACTTTTTTGTGGCAGAGGAGTCGCTGAAGATGCACTTTTATTAATGCAAAGCAGAAGGTGAGTTAAACAAGATAACTATTTCAGAGCCTGAAACTGAGAGGTTGCGGCTAGTTTTAAGCATGTTTGTTAGCTTACAGTACATCAATGGAGGAATAAACCGGTTTCACAAGTTAACATCACAGGCAATGAACAGAGGCTTAGCGTTTATCAATTTCTGGAATTGTCGAAGCTTTTGCATTTGTTGCACTATATTTTTGTTTTTATCCTACTCACATATTTTCCAAGGAAATTTAGTAGTATCTGTATATTAGGTTGCTATCCACCAGTGGCGGCTGGCCAATACAGGGCCCTAGGTTGCCCCCACCCACCCAGTGACCTTGATTAAATAAAAATAAATTTATAAGATTACAATATTTCAAAATCTACTAATATATATTTTTTTTTAGATCTGCAAGATAAATACTTAATATTTAATGATGAGTAAAGCTGTTTCATTGTCAGTCGGATTGGTGAAGTATTTCCACCCTGGGGCGCAAAAATATTTGACCATAGACTCTCGTTAAAAGTTGTACATGCTCTGTTGCTCCTCTTCAATGCAAAAGGATAGGAGAGCTGGGCCCAGAGCTGGCAAGAACTGCGTCACAGTAGTAGTGCGGCTGATTGACAGGTTGAGTCGCAGAAGTGAAATTCCTCAATGCAAATTTTCCAAAAGAAGCTGAAGTTTAAACCAGAGACGGTACACTCTGTCTTTTTCCAGGAGCTAGTTTAGCTACAAGGCTTGGCTAACTGCATGCAGCGAGGCTAATGCTTTTTTTTCTGCTTTCCTGCCTCCTTTTTTCAAACGTCAGTATCTGACCCAGCATGGATAAAGACAGGTAGAACTTTTTAGAAAAGGCAAAGGAGAATGAACAATCTGGGATTCACATGGAAAATAATGTAATATAGTGTACTTTTTCTAGGTGTTTATTAAATTGCATAGTTCCCCTTGAATAATAAAATAAAGAGTTTTTATATATTATTAAAATATAAAACTGACTAATAGCTTCTCCATTATTAAACTGGTATATTTCTTTTAGGTTTGTGACACAATATTGGAACATGCAAAACACAGATTTGCCTTCACAAAGCCTCAGAAGTAAAGTTTAATAAAGAATTTTTGTGAAAATTGATGTGAGAAACATGTTTATATATTTTAATATTAAGATTTTTTTTTTAAATATACAGTCATTGATCCCCATTTGTTGTTCTGATTGAGGTGGACTAAAGATCCTTTTGCACTTTATCACCTTACACCAGCGCTTAAAGTGGGCTGGTTTCCAATTATATGGGGTACCATTACTTCTGACTAATTTAATGCAATTCTTTCTTTTGTTAAATGAGGAAGTTATGTCCCTTTAAAAAGGCCGTTGCGCCTCGGGGGCTTCCTCCCGGTTCTTTTCCTGGGAGCAATTTATTTACTACTCTTAACTCAAACTGGGTAGAACCATATAAAAAAGGACTATAAAACAGGAGTAAAAAAATTAACAGAGCTTATTCCAGATCAGGTCGTTTGCACAGCTGTGGGCTCAAAAGTCACGTCCGCGAGCGTCCGGCAAAGATTGAGCCCCGAACAAGGCCATCTTCTCCTTCTTATAGCTCATGAGTCTATGTATTGCACCAGGTGGATGCTTAGTTGTCCGTATCAGAAACTGACACGCCATCCATGCCCAAGGATTACAGATAGCTCTCCTCTATCAGTCCGGCTCCAAGATGTTCCCATATCCTGTGTATTTTTAAAGACATGAAGGCTGTCCTGATTAGATGACCTCCGTACACACAGCGACATCCACAATTTGAAGGAAGGCCATCTACTCTCTCTATTCCGGCTAGCAAAGTAACAATGCACATGATGTATAAAGCATAAACCTAACAACTCCCCCTGATAAGTTACCGTTTATACATGTAACTTAAAACACAGTAAGCGACACATCTTTGAAGGACCAGGTGACTCAGAGAGCATCTATAATTAGTGATGTATCATTAATTAGGGATCAAAAGTAATCACAATCAAAAACTTCACAGACCAAATGTTTTCACTCAAGACCACCGTTTCAGCATTTAACTACAATTTGGGTTTCATCTAATTAAAGGAAGGCTATTTTAGTTTCCTATGCGCACATTATTCTAATTTACCTTAGACTAGGTAACCTAAGCCTATAGATCTAATAAGGCCAAATTTATCTACTCTCACTCCCACCTGGAGGCCTCCTAAACATGACCGCTCCTCATGGATAAACCATCCATCCAACTTTAGCAATCATTCAGTCACAGTAGGGGACGTCACAGGACAGGTCGGGCCGTTCTCCACCGGAAAACCCTACCTTCTCTAAAAGGTAGTAGAAACCAGGGTGACCCCAGGGAAATCCCACTCTCGGCCAATCTGAGCAAGAAAACCCCATTTTGAATCTGACAATTATCATTACCAACTATTTAAAGAACCTTTAAGCCAATCAGGTTCTGAGTCTTTCTACATCAAAGAAAAAGTGGCATAAAGCTTGATCTTGGTGGGTCTGGAGCAAAATGTTTCCATGATTTTCATCAAAACAAAATCAAAATAAACCACAAACACTTTCATAGTGCCACACTGACCTGCTTCCAAATAGACATATGAATTTTAACAGAATTGAATGACAACAGCATCATTCTGAACAGTTCTCCACTTTACAAAAAATTGGAAGGGGGTTCTGATGCTGCAAAAAACCCTGTGACATATGGTGATGTAAAAGACAAGGTCAGGGGTGATGCTAGCCAGTTGAGAGCCCTCAGCAAAAATACTGTGTGGTTCCCACCTAATGCTGAATTGAAATATATTTCTTGGGAATGACATCTCCTAAAAGATTAAAAATAGAATTTGAGTTTAATGTTTGTGATATTGGACAGAACCAACTTACTGATGGTACCTGCCTGACTACTAGAAATATGTATGAAACAGCAAGGCTCAAAATGTTACACTACTACATTTTAATATATCTCAAATATCCTGAAGGAGATTCAATTTAATGAAGTAATATTTTTCTTGGAAAGCAAAAGCAGTGAAATTAATACATTGCAAATGGTTGTAGTCTTCTGTTGTAGTCCGAACTGCATCAGGACTTGTAGATGATTCATATATTACTTTGGTTCCATTCTTGATGTTGAAGAAGCAACAGAACACACATTAATCTATGAGGGTTTGCTTGTTCCACTACTGTAAGTTCAGCTAATCCAGAGGACGTAACATATGTCATACTAACACTTAACATGACATTAACAGTATGATCTCTGATCCCAGTATTATACTACTACTGAATGTTAGGCTCATACTTTCAGACAAAATCCCCAATACACTACCCCTACCCTGGAAACTGATCCGTGATGTTTGGACCGAGCTTGGATCAGTTAACAGTTCTGAGTTCAGTTCCTTACGACCATTTACACACCACGCTAGCACGCTCCCTCGCTTCCTAGAGACGATCTATAGTACTACTGCTCTCTAGAGGAAACGATAATCCATATAATCCGTAACATTCAGGAAGTTTGATTATTATTGTGATATTTTGTTGTTTACAGAGAGTCAGGCGAAGAAGGAAGCCTTTGGTGTATTTACTTGACAGGGTTGGTTTTTTGGAAGTGGATACGACAAACTAATCAGGGCTTAAAGATGCAGGAAACAATGACAAATGTTGAAGTTCATCACACTGCTAAGCAAATTCATCACTGGAAATCGTGTGGCAAGATAGGGTCTGAAATTTAATGATTATGGAGGCTGACTGTAAGGAGATGACGCGGTCTGCTCATGTGCTCTTTGTTTTCTGAGAACTGATCCAGCACTGAACCCCGCCAAGCCCTACGGATGAACTAGAACCAGTTTGGCGGTCTGGTTCAGTTTTATGTGCCATTTACATTTAAAAGTTATCTTATTTACCATGCTCGGACTGATCTCGACATAGTTTCAAAAAGTGTAAATGGGGCTACTCTATAGCTTGTTCATTGTACTTGCACGGAACTTTACATTTTGAGTGGATGTAAAAGAGGGCAACCCCTAACCTAGGGTTGAATAATACATGTAGTTCAATTCGAATGGTACACAGTATTCTTAATTATTTGAGCTGTTTGGATAAATGTGTGGCAACTGTCTCCAATGTTGCAATTTGAGCAATTGCAGCTGCAGTAGCAGGTGTGACGTATCACATTCTTGATTTGTTTCACAATTAGCAGAGCTACCTGATAAATCACACTCTAGCCAAATCCAATTGGGGGGTATGCACAAATATCTTTCCAATCTACAAAGGCAAAAATCTAGTTCTTTTGCATTTTCCAGAAGGTAAATCAAGGGTACAGTATTCAGGCGAAAATGGACAGAATAGTAGAGTCTAAAGGTAAAACACTGCATTTCATTGGTGTGAAACATATCTGTATTTAAGGTTAATGCATTTATTGGCTTACAGCAAGCCATTACAAAAAGTTTCCGAATAGTTGCTATTTAGGAATGTATTTGCCCCCCATCAACAAGAACAAAGGTTTATATGTACTCTAATTT